GCCCCCCAGCCACCCAAGCTCCCACTGGAGGCTGGCTGGAAGCAGGTATCTGGGATTTATTTGTCTTCTATAATTGAAACTTTGTTGCTATGAGCGGAGGCCACAGCCGGCTCAAGGCAGGCAAGAAGCTTGGCTTCCTCCATTTGCCCAGGCAACCAAGCCTCCTGTTTGCTTCAGCTCCGTGGCTGCTGGCTGCCATCTTGGTTGGGTTAATTTGCATATAGTCGCTCTGATTGGCTGGCGGGCGTGGCTTAGGGCATAGTTAAGGTATGGTTAATTAGCACCTTTGTATTTTATTAGTGTATATATATATATATATATATATGATACAGACATGTGGGAATGTCAGGAGAGGCTGTGTGGAGGAAGCCCAATGTGAAATGGGCTTTGGAGAATGGGTTGTTTGCATGGCTAAGCAGAACTTGGAAGACATTCCAGAGAGTACACTAGCAATTTGAAACGAAGAGGTAGGACTAAGCATGTCACGTGTGAGGGAACATCAGGGAGTGGTTTTGATGGATATGGAGGAGTCACATCTCTAGATAAAGTGGGATTGTGAGCTTACAGAGGCCCTTGAGGACCACACCCCCTGAGGTATGGAAGCAGGATTCAAATACGTGACAGATATGGGGTTGTCCGGAGACTTTTATTCATCCTGTAAGCATAAGATTGTGGCTTCGGAATAAGCAATTCAATAATTTCCCCTTGTCGGGAGAGCACGGGATGGGCTTCCCTTCTCCTTGCTTTGAGGTGGATATTCATAACTTGGGGAAAAGGTTATTATAACCACGAGATGCCTTTTGACATCAGTGAAAGACACAGTTAAACTGAATGTGGTTGTAATGAGAAGTGCTGCATCTGGTAATCCACAGATGGCACATGCAGTTGCTTTCTCACAAAAAGTAATTCTATGGAATAATTTTACAAATACACCCAGGAGATTTTGCTACGGTTGGCATTAGTCGTCAGTGGGCAGACACAGTCACAGCAGGAACAGAAGACAGAGATGAGAGGAGTAGACTGGCCCCAGGTGAGTAGGTGAAGAGTAACAGAGCACTCACAGGTGCCAGGGAGTCAGAGAAGTTACCCGAAAAAGGAGCAGATTGAGAGACAGGAACAGTAGCATGTCCGCGGGTGAGCGCAGGGCAGGGACTGTGGTCCAGGTCCTGCTTCGGAGTTCACTGTGTGCCTGGAGGAAGCCATCCCGCGCTCAGGGCTGGAGCTGCTCTGGGAAAGCAGCCCTGACGCTCCCTGAGTGTCCTGGCTGCAATGTGTGGCATCGCTTTGAAAGGCGCACCCAGGTCCGCCCGGGTCATGACTCTGTCGTGCTTTCCTCCCACAGAGGCCCTGCGCATTGTCCTCGTGGGGCGGAGCGGGACTGGGAAGAGTGCCACCGGGAACGCCATCCTCGGGAAATCCATCTTCCTCTCTCAGCTCCGGGCCCAGCCGGTCACCACGAAGTGCCAGAAGGACAAGAGGACGTGGGTGGAGCAGGAAGTCGTGGTGGTGGACACTCCTGACCTCTGCCTGCTGTCCAGCCAGCCAGACCACCGAGAGGAGCTCCAACGCAATGTGCTCTGCTGTGAAATGAACACGGTTCTGGTCCTGGTGCTCCAGCTGGGACGGTTCACGGCCCAGGACAAAGCGGCGTTGGGGACACTGAGGACCGTCTTCGGAAAGGATGTGATGGAACGCATGATTGTGCTTTTCACCCGGAAGGAAGACTTGGGGGCCGAGGACATTAGAGATTACTGCAAAAACACAAATAACACATTTCTTAAGGAGACCGTTAAAAAGTGTGGGGGGCGAGTTTGTGCTTTTAATAACAAAGAAACCGGCCAAGCTATGGAAGACCAGGTAACAGACCTTTTGAAAATGGCCAATGAGCTGATACGTGGACGTAAAAAGCACAGATTTTCCTGTGATAAGAATGTCAGCAAAATAACGAAAGATGCCCAGGAAAGGCAATATCCCAGAAAAGAATTCCTAAAGCAAGTAAAAAGTTTCTTTTAAGAGGTGGCTGAAGTGCCTGGGGTCTCTTTAAGTTAGAGAGGGGGGGCATAGGAAGACTGGTGGATGGGAAGTGGGTTCATGACTTTTAAGGGCTTGAGAAATCAAGGCCTCTCACCTTGTGATGCTTCGGCTCTTTGAGGTAAATAAATTTTCGGGTTGGGGCAGGTAGTCGATTATAAAGGAGCAAGAAAAAACAAGGTAGGGAAAACGCGTCAGAATCAAGTCACAAGAATGACCTCACCTCTGCAGGTAGATGGGAGTCAGGACCAAGGCGAAGGCCAGCCTGTGGTCAGACTACATATTGTTACACAAGAATCAGGGCGTCCAGATACATGAGAGCGAGGCGATGTCCGGCAAGTCCTGGGCGTGGCAGGGAGGTGAGCTGGACTCCTGTGGGCCACCCCGTGCCTGCCAGGCCCGCTGGCCGCTGAGCTGTCCTTTCCTAGTGTGGTGGCTATTCCTTTGTGTCCTCTCCATTTCTAGTCTGAATGCAAAGGGATCCAGTCACCCCATCTTTGTTGTCCCCAGGGAAATGAACAAGACTGTGAGGTCTCAAAGGATTATTGTTAAATCATCACAGTGAAGACTAGAACAAAAATCAGTAAAATTGCCAAGATTAGACAACTTTGCAAAATTTTTAAATTTTAAGTATAATTCTAGACTCCCTCTAGAAAGGGTTATTGAAAACTCTTTTGTACTTTTCTCCCTTCTTTATCTTGAGGGTTAGGAATTAGGTTATAAGCAGACAACTCGCATAATTATGGTGTAAACACATTAGGGGCTTATGGTGTCTCATGTCCGGGGGCAGGCCGTCTGAGGCAGGCGCTGTGTCCACGGTCCAGCTTCATTCTCACGCAGTCTCCGCACTTCAGGTTGCCACTGGCTTCCTAGCCAGTGATGTTCTACTCACAGGTGAGCAGTTAAAATTGAGAGCTGCCTGATGGAGGCGCTGTATGAGGCAAGAACTATAGAATCTTCTTTCAGTAGATGTAGGGCCAGATGTTTTCAATATTAACCACTTTGGAGATACTTTGGGGACAGGATCTATATCACCAGCCTTTGTTGTTTTTTTTTGAAAGTATCAGCTTACCGTCAAGACCGACCCATTTATAAGAGCATGGACTATCACCATTAATAATTTTGTATCCTGCATAACTCTTATTATGACAAATTCTGGAATCCATGTATGCAAATATACTCCGCTGAGTGAAATAATAAAGATGAATGATATTATGAACTATGCCCTCCTGATTCCTGGATCTCTGACTTGAGGAAGAGCCTGGCTCCTCACAGAGGCAGGAGATGCCTCAGCTTGACAGTATGGAGTTACCTCAAAAATTTAAAAATGGAACTGCCTTACGACCCAACTTTTCCACTTCTGGGAATTTATCCAAAGAAACCCAAAACACTAATTCAAAAGATGGTATGTACCCCTAAGTTCACTGCAGCATTATTTACAATAGCCAAGATTTGGAAGCAGCCCAAGAGTTCATCAATAGATGAATGAATAAAAGAGCTGTGGTACATTTACACAATGGAATACTACTCTGTGGTAAAAAGGAAGAAAATCTTACCCTCTGCAACAGCATGGTTGAACCTGGAGAACATTATGCTAAGTGAAATAAGCCAGTCAGAGAAAGACAAGTACCATATGATTTCACTCATATGTGGAATTTAATGAACAAACTGAACCACCAAGCAAAATAGAAACAGACTCAGAGAGAGCAGGCAGACAGCTCTGGTGTGTTGTGGGAGTGGAGGGATTGAGCAAAAAAGAAAAAAAAATAGAACTCATGGACATGGACAAGAGTGTGGTGATTGTGGGGGGTGAGAGTGGTGGGTGGAGATGGAAGAGGGCATATAGGGGATAAATGGTGGTGGGAAAAAATAAAAAGAAAATAAAGGAATACCAAAGATTAGAAGGTAGGAGAGAGGAATAGAACAAATTATCTCTCACTGCCCTCGGAAGGAACCATCATCTTTTAAACAAATATATATATTTTATTGATTTTTCACAGAGAGGAAGGGTGAGGGATAGAGAGCTAGAAATATTGATCAGAGAGAAACATTGATCAGCTGCCTCCTGCACACCTCCCACTGGGGATGTGCCCACAACCAAGGTACATGCCCTTGACCGGCATCGAACCTGGGACCCTTCAGTCCGCAGGCTGACGCTCTATCCACTGAGCCAAATTGGTTAGGGCTATACCATCATCTTGATCTTGTTCTTCTAGCCTTCTTTGAGCCACCAGTTTGTGGTCCTTTGCTACAAAGGACCCAGAAAACGCATATAGAGGGGCAAGAGTAGTAAGCAGTCCACATCTTTCTTTGATGAATACACATTGGCTGTGGATTCATGACATTTCCTGTGATATGCCAGGTCCATCTCGACCTCCATTTCTTCTACCCTCCTGGAAAACTTCCTAATGGTTATGCCCAGTCCAAGAGCCCAGGACCCCAAAGGATATTCTGTGAGAGGGCATACCTTTGGCACCCAAGATAAAGCTTAGTGGCTTTGAGCAAATCATCTTTCCTCGCCTCAGATTCCTCATATCCAGAATAAACTAGTCATACAAAAGGAACTAAGTGTCTCTTTCTAGCTATAAATGTGATGATTCCTGAAGCACTGATAAAGGTTAGCCTGACCTTCTATAACTCCCTTCATTTATTTTTTATTGAACCAATTTTTACAAATATATTATAGCACGTCTTGAATATAAGCTCTATCTGTCATTTAAAAGAATAAAATATATATTTTTTATTGATTTCAGAGAGGAAGGGAGAGGGATAGAGAGGTAGAAACATCAATGATGAAAGAGAATCATTGATTGGCTGCCTCATGCATGCCCTTCACGGGGGATCAAACCCACAACCTGGACATGTACCCTGACCTGGAATCGAGCTGTGACCTTCTGGTTCATAGATCGACACTCTGCTGCAGAGCCATGCCAGCCAGGCTCTATCTGTCATTAAAAAAAAAGTATCTTTATTGTTGAAAGTATTGTATATATCCCCCTTTTTCCCCATTGACCCCCTCCGCCCCACCTTCTCTCCACCCCCAGGTTTTCACCTCACTATTGTCTGTGTCCATGGGTTATGCATATATGCATATAAGTAATGGATCATTTTTAACAGTATATAATTAATGAGTTGTCAGCACAGTGTATTGGAAAAGTGTGGCCATATATATCAGAAGATCTGAAATCTAATCTTGATTTCAGAATAATGCTTAAATTAAAACACAAAGTAATATCATCTATTCCTTTCTGCAAATGATGGGTTAGGCTAATTTTTTCCTTGTACTCCAAGAGAAGAGTTCTTTTCTTTTTTAAATCATCACCCAAGGATATCTTTTTATTGATTTTTAGAGAGAGAGGTAGGGATGGAGAGAGAGAGAGAAAGAGAAACACTGATTTGAGAGAAAAACATTGATCAGTTGCCTCTCATATGCGTTCCAACTGGGGATCAAACCCACAACCTAGGTATGTGTTGGGACCAGGAATTGAACCCACCACTTTCTGGTATAGGGGATGAGGCTCCTACCAGCTGAGCCATTTGGCCAGGGTAAGAGAAGAGCTATTTGCAGTTTTAATGAGTCTAAAGTAAACCTAGTAGTGTAGGTTTTTCCTTTTCTCAATCCTACCCACACTTTTTTTTTTCTAGTAACATGTTTTTTCCCATCAAACTAATTCAGCTTTTGACCACCATGAAAGCCACAGTTTGTTTTTTTAAGGCTTGGAAAGAGGTAATATCATTGTGATATTGCAAGTTATCATATATGACATTGGACACAGCATTTTTGCCTACTGCTAACCCTTGTCCAAGAGTCTGTGTCCTGAAACCTTTGTAAAAACATCTCAACAGGTATGAATTCAGAAAGCCCATGTATGCCTGGCTCAACATAAAGGAAACTCATAAAATGAAGCCCGTGTGGTTTATGTGCAGTTCTGATAGGCATACAGAAGGAACTTGTTATGCAAGCTGTTCCTTTATTCAAGGATTTGTGAGCACATATTATGTTTTCTTGATAAATAATTTTTCCATGGATTGTTTATAATAGCAGCTGGTAGACTTCTGTGGTGTTCTGTTGCTTATCTCCAACAAGAGAACAGGCATAATACAAATAGTTATGCATTACCTAGACTTCCATTTGCAATAAGGAACACAGACAATGCCATACCAAAGTGAGTTTATTGACATTCCTTGAAGGTGATATGAGGGAAGAGAAAGCTTGGCCTGAGTATCACGTGACATTTCTCTTGTCAATGGAAGCAAAATCAGCCCAATAATGTGGACTTCTCCTGCTATTGACTAGAACAAAGACTTTTAGCAAAATTGTTATAGGTATTTCCTTAGATAATTCAGAAGCTGCAGGAAGTAGGCTGATGAACTGACATTTACTCTATAGTCTACCTGTTGGCATCTATTTTTTTCTATTGGAACAAAGGAACTCTATGTCACTAATAGGAAAATAACACTTTCTCTTTTGATCTTATGAGGGCTGGAACACCTATCCTAGATTTTTATGTTATAGAATGGAAGCAATAGTTTTAGTGAACACAAAAATAAATAATAATAATAATAAAAATAAAGCACCACATTTGTTATGTGAAAGTCTAACTAGTTTCATTTGAAAGTGTTTCATCTTGACTTTGAAAATATTTGTGGCAACTGAGAAATTTTCTGAACCCCAAATTTGGACACACGGTTTGACACATGGACTGACAATGTCATAAATGTAATATTTAAATGTCCTGGAAAGTCCAGTTCATTGACTTGCACACAAATACACTTACTGTGAAAGGACATAGGGACATATATTAAAGGAGAACACATTTAGACTTTTGTCATATTTAAAGCCTGCCAAAAATATATATATCTTTCTTAATTTTGCATTGCCATTCAAAAAATTGTGCTACAATAGTGATGGTTAAAATTTTTTCTCAACTTATATATGCAGGAAGTTACAAAGAACTCAGGATATTTAGAATACTTCTGATCCTACAGGGTCAGTTTTCTATTTTTAAGATTATTGTCATCATATGACAGAATAAAATGTGATATCCATGAAATTAATAATACTTTATAGCATTTCAAAAGCATTTTTTCCAATTGTAACATGTTTTTCTCTTTTGTGTTGTTCTTGTTTATCCCTCAATTAAGGGTAATATACTTTCCTAAAACTAGCTCTAAAAGATCTTGTTTTAGAGAAAATGCTGTTTATAAGTGATTAATTTTATAATATGTCATAGAGAAAACTCATACTTTAAATGAAAAAAAAAATACAAGCGGTAACAAATAGATCTGCCTTGCCCACTAAATTATATAACTTGGGTGGTTTACATCTCCATCTGTGAAATCAATAGCATAATTTAGTCCTATAGCTGTTTTATTATATATAATGAAGAATTATACATAATTTAAAAATCAGCCTCATGTATGAGGGAATATTAACTAAGAAAACATCTTTCAGAACATAGAAAAAAATAAAAAGGATCTTTCTGTAACAACTATCTGTATTCCTTTTCGTTTTCCTTCCTTAAGGAGTCTACCAAAGGCTTTAATGGAATCTGGGACCCTGTTAAGCAAGCTATGCATTCTTTCAGCTGACTTTGACAACAGGGTTTTTTTGAGACTTTATACTTTTATGAAACACTGTTCCTGTAATGCTTTTTGAGATACATCTAGAGTCATGGCATTGGGGCAGGGGTAGGTAAAAAACCCCACTTATGACCAAGTAATCCATCTATATATCATTTCTAGAATATCTTTTTCCTTCTGCATATGGGTGAATAGATATTAATCAATCTAATCAATAGATTAATTAGATATTTGTACAAATTATAAAACAGGTTCCATTTTTAACAGCTTTCTCTCTTGCCAATGCCTAACAAATAATATAAGTACTAAAAAGAGAATTGATTGCTTGAATTAATGAGTATTTACATACATGTAACACCAAGTTCTAAAAATAATAGATGCCTCCTACACTAGAAGGTCCAGCTCATTGGCTTGCACAAAATAACTTATTGTTAAAGGACATATGGTTATGTATTAAAAGAGAACGGCAGCAGTCGTTTTATCCTGGTATGTATTAAAGCATTAGAACTGTGAAATGATCAGCATAATCCTTACGTTCTGATTTCATAAATAAATAATAGCTCCATTGGAATCGACAATTTTTTAGATATTGAAATGTATACTGAATTTTACAGGTTCCCAAATTCCATATTATGT